TAGGAGCCTGCGAGGGCAGCCGGGAGAGCCCCCCCACCACGGCCGCTCGTGAGGCTGCCACCGAGGCATCTACCTCTCCTCCTCTTCCTGATCCTCCTCCTCCTCCTTTCCCACTGTTCCTCCTTTTCCTCCTTCTCCTCCTCGTCCTCCTCCTCCTCCTCCTCCTCCGCCTCCCCGTCCTCCTCCTCCTCCTCCTCTCCTCCTCCTCCTCCTCCTCCTCCCCCTCCCCTCCTCCCCTCCCTCCCTCCCTCCCTCCCTCCCTGCCCTCCTCCCTCCCTCCCTCCCTCCCTCCCTCCCTCCTCCCTCCCTCCTCCCTCCCTCCCTCCCCTCCTCCTCTCCTCCTCCTCCTCCTCCTCCTCCTCCCTCCTCCTCCTCCTCCTCCTCCTCCTCCTCCTCCTCTCCTCCTCCTCCTCCTCCTCTCTCTCCTCCGCCTCCTCCTCCTCCCCCCCTCTTCCTCCTCCAACTCCTCCTCTCCTCCTCCTCCTCCTCTCCTCCTCCTCCTCAGCATCCTCCCATCTTTACCCCTCGTGTCCCGCCCCCCCCCCCCCTCCATACCACCCCCGCCCAGCAGCGCAGCCCCCCCCCCGAGAAGCCCGCTGAGGCAAGATGCCAGAGAGACGCATGCGCGGGAGGAGCACGAACGACCGAGGTATATAACGAACGGGGGGGGGGCGAAGGGTGGCTGCGCACGGCCGTCGTCACGATCGAGCGTGGGTCGGCACGGCGATTCGTCGAGATAGAAACGCTCTGCACATCACAAGAAAGGCCTGCCTAAAACTCATCTCCTCTCGCCCTCCGACTCCTCCTCATCACCGTCAACCGTCAACCACCAACCATTAGCCATGACACACCAGCCATCAACCCTCAGCCACTACCTGCATCATCATCATCATCATCATCATCATCATCATCATCATCATCATCATCATCATCATCATCATCATCATCATCGTCGTCGTCGTCATCATCATCATCATCATCATCAGCATCAGCATCAGCATCAGCATCAGCATCATCATCATCAGCATCATCATCTTCATCATCATCATCATCATCAACATCGCCGTCGTCGCCATCGTCATGATCAACATCATCATCACCCGCATACTCATCCTCATCCCCGTCATCGTCACCATCACCATCGTCGTCATCATCGCCACCGTCACCATCGCCATCACGTTCACCATCATCACCACCGTCATCATCAACGCCAACATCAGCAGCATCACGCTCAACATCATCATTGCCAGGACCATCAGCGTCAGCATCAGCATCAACATTAGCATCAACATCAGCAACAGCAGAAGCACCGTCCTCATCGTCACCCTCATCAGCATCATTATCAGCAGCATCTTCATCGTCAGCAGTATCAGCATCGTCATCAACATCAACATCGCAAACATCATCACCATCATCATCACCACCACTATTACCACCACGACCACCCCCACCATCATCATCAGCATCATCACCGTCATTTTCGTCGTCATCACCATCCCCACCATCATCACCATCATCCTCATCACCATCATCATCACCATCATCATCATCATCATCATCATCATCATCATCATCATCATCATCATCATCAGCATCATCATGGCGTCCCTCTTTTCGACAGCCGCGCGCCCAGAGCGACATGTGTGTGCGTTGGCGCAAGTATCAGATCTCCCCCAGCCAGCGGGGCCCACCCCAACGACGGCTACCCAGAAGGGCCTGTCGCGCCGAAGGGGGGCGAAGTTGCATAACCCCCCGTACGGGGGCCCCCCGTCCAGGTCGCCACGTGGTATTACCCCTCAACGGGGGCCTCCCCAACGCGGGCGCCTCACCCTCCGGCCCACCAAATGGCGCCCTGCGGACCGCTCCTGAGGGTCGATGGCTTCCATGGGGCAGGCTGTACACTGGAGGCCAGTCCACAAGAATCCTTCCACAAGAAACCCAACCCTGAGACCCCAGGACGTCCACGGATTTTTGGTGTGGGAGCGTCACGCTTTCCATCGCAAAATCATCAAACCCAAGAAACCCAGGGCACCCTGGAGGCAAGCAGGGTGTTTCTTGACATGGGTCCCCACTGTAGAGGGCGCTCGCTTCTCCGCCGATGGCAGGGGGGGAGGCGCAGTCCCGACCCTGATCCCTGGGTCCACGCGGCCCGCAGGCCAGGGGCACTCAACCTGTCCTTTCGTTCTGGCTGGCGAGCCGCACAGTTTCATAGCTGCCCCTCGGGCAGCGGAACGGCAAGCCCGCCGAACCAAAGGGAGGAGTGCGAGACCGCCAATCCTTCCCCGAAGGATGCACACACAAGGCTGCATCGGGCACCTTACCGCAAGCCCCTGACTATCTCACGCTGAGCGTTGACGCGATCCACCCGCCAGGCGGAAACACACACTCTCCACAATTCCCTGACCTGGCTGACAAGCCGCTTCTTGGACTCGTTCCCACCCTGGATGACATCCAGACGCTGTGGGCGACGGATTCCTGTAGTTGACTGCTGGGGCCTGGAGCGCCGACCGCCGAAGCTAAGCGTGCCGCTGACCATGCGGCGCGCTTGCTTGCCCTCACACCTCCAGGCCTCGGTCCAGCACTGTCGGCTCAGCACGGGCTGTCCGCCCTGCTGCCGCCGACCTCGTCGGCACCTCTGATGGTTCTCGCGCCAGTGCCGCCCCCCGGGTACTGCGAGAGTTGATGGGGTGCCGCACGCGCCATTTCCTTCACCGGGGGTACTTGTGTGGCCACTCTCTCATATTCGCCACCACCGCCTGCGACCTGTGAGAGTGCCAGTGTTCGCGTCACGGTGGACGAGGATCTGGGCGCCGCGCACCCCCTTGCACTTCACCAGAGCAGCCGCCGACGCCGCAACGGCGCACGCTCTCGATTTCGCCGAGGTTGACCCGAGCAGAGTGCGCGCCCGTGCCCTAGCGACCACCGTGGTGCTGCACAGAACGTGCTGTCGGTGCTGCAGCTTACTCTCTCCCAGCAGCGCTGGTGGGCAAACTCCCTCCAACCGGCGGCTTTAGAGCTGGCTCGGGCTCGGCGGGGCCCACCCCTACGACGGCTACCCATTAAGGCCTGTCACACCGCGGGGGGACTGAGTGGCATTATCCTCATGGGCCACCCCCAGCAGTCACCGCACGGCACAGGACCTCAAGGGACCTAACCTGCGCGGGGGCCCCACCAAGCCAGCGGCACCTCGGTCATCCCGCGGGGGCTCGGAGTAGGTATAGCAGTTTCCACCTGCCATGGTTGCCCACAACCAGCTTCCACCGCTCCTGTACCCAGCGGCCCCCGTGGCCTTCCAGAGGTGACCCCCCGAGTCGCTTGGCGCCCACGAAGGGCCCAGCGGGGGCATCACCAAGCCCTCAGGGATTGCCCTGGTCAGCCAGCGGCCACCTCCACACCCGCCGAGCTTTGGGCTCCACCCTGGCAAGCTCCCCGAACGCCTCGCTGGCGACGGAACCCCCTGGGGGTTCGCCCTGAACTCCGCAACGATAGAGGGGCCAACGCGCCTAATCCGAATGCTGGACACCGACCAGATGCACGGTCCCGCTGCATGGGCTGCCGTGCACCTTGATGGAGTCGTCGGCCACAGCTTTTCGAGAAGCGACCCCTACACGGCGTCACCGCGGCACAATCCCCTCAGCAGCGCTGAGTTTTCGGCACGTTCGCCCGCGTGCCGCGTCCTGCCTGTGGACCCATGTCCTCCGCCAGACGAGTGGCGGCAGAAGCGCCGCCAGCGCGACAACGGGCACCTTGATCCTGCTGTCTGGATCGTTTGACGGTCAACTCCTTGACACCGCTCGTTCCTGCAAGGCTGGTATCCGACAGGGCAGACCCGTCGTAATGGACACCGTGCTACGGCTCGACTCCAAGTACCAGACCCACCCCTGTGGGCTCCAGCCGTCGCTAGAGCACAAACCAGAAGGGCCCCCCCCCCGCAACCGCTTTGGAACCTTGCGGACCACGAGAGCGCCTGAAGGGATCTTAGCGAGCCCACGACCAGCCGGAGTGCGCCCCCAGGGTCCTTGGCCCTGAGCTCCAAAGAAGAGGACCGTCAGCCTGTGACTCATCCTCACGAGTCGGGGGGCCGCCGTTTCCCGTCAATAGCGGGGGTGGGGGTGACTGGTTACCAGCGGGGTGCCTGAGACCGTCGCGTCGTCCACGACTTCGCCGTTGCTCGACCTCGTCGGGGCGGACACCGCGGTGCTGGTTGACCCTGAAGGCACCAGACGAGCGTTCGAGCACCTCACGCTGGTCACCGCAGTACCGTCCAGCTCCCCAGCGCCGAGGCGGACCCCAAGGCACTGCTCGACTCCGCCAGGCTGGATACCAGCAGGGGGACCGAGCACGTGGTGGTGAACACTGCGGTGCTGCCTGACTCCGAAGAGCTGGGCCCGAGGTCCAAACGCACCAGTTATCCGAGCTGCGCTCAGCCGTGGCGACGAGGGCCCCCCCCCCGAAGGCAAACTGCTGCTGCGTCAGCTCGACACGCCCTCCTCTGACACCCTGGGCCAGGGATACTTCTGGCAGCTCCCAACCGTTGCGTGCACCCCGACGCCCTCCCTCGGGGAACTCACTCACCCAGGTCAGCACAAATCATGGGCTGGCCACGGCCCCGTCGCGATGCCTGGCCGGCCGCTCCGTCGCTCCCAAATCCGGGTCCGCGGAGGGCGGAGACGGGTCACCCGCCCAACTTGGCTCCCGGACCCAGGGACAGCCAGAGGGTATTGCCTGACCCCCGTCAGCGCTGACGTCCCCTCCCCCGCACCGCCCCCCTCTGGCCGGCGCTCCCCGCGGCCGGCCGCCTCGGCCACCGCGCACTTCAGCCCTGGCAAACCGTCCTTCGCGGGCTGGAGGAGGCGGCGAGATAGGAGGAAGGAGGGAGGAGGGAGGACGCGAGGAGGGAGGAGGGAGATAGGAGGAGGAGGAGGATAGGAGGGAGGAGGGAGGAGGGAGGAGGAGGATCGGAGGGAGGAGGGAGATAGGAGGAAGGGGGGCGAGGACGGGCGCGGACAGCCTGATGGCGCGCAACCGTCTGCCGGCGGGACCGAGATGGCTGGAAGAAGCGAGCGCACGTGTACGTATGAACGTGTGCAGGTAGACATCTATAGATTTATATGAGTCCTTGTTCCTTGTTTGTCTGCAGGTATGTATGCACGTATGCATGCATGCATGCATGCAGGCAGGCAGGCATGCATGTAGGCAGGCAGGCAGGCGGGCATGCATGCAGGCAGGCATGTGTGTGCATGCATGTACGCAACTACGTACGCATGTATGGAAGTGTGTATACATGCATGCATGCATGTATGTACGTATATGTGTGTGCGTCTGTGTATGTGTACATGCATGCATGTATGCATGTATGCATGTCTGTATGCATGCATATGTGGATGTGTGTAGGTAGGTGGGGGTAGGTAGGTGGGTATGTAGGTGGTAGGTAGGTAGGTTGGTAGGCATGTGCACATGTGTGTACGTTTGTACGTATGTACGTATGCACGTGTGTACGCTTGTGCTTCTGTACGTATGTACGCGTGTACGTATGTCGCATGTATATGTGTACGTACGTACGTACATTTGTGTGTATGTATGGTTTTACGTACGTGCGTATGTATAGTTGTATATATGGATGTTGTATGGATGTATGTGTGTATGTATGCAGGTGGGTGGGTGGGTAGGTCGGTAACGATTTTGTTCTACCTCGTGGGCACACGTGAAACGTTAGGAGCAGCAGCGGGTCAGATAACTGTGGCAAGCAGCGGTCCAACAAACTATGGATACAATGAGCATTAGCGTCTGCGACGCGTACACCGCTGCAAGTTTGCAGCACGAGTGCAGGCACCTTGATGCACCTTGCGCGAATTGAAGTGAACACATGCGAGGATGAACAACATGTCAAATCCGAGATAACACATCAAGCTGCATTAAATAAACACATACGCGTCCAGCCTCTAGCTGATGCGCATACGAGGGCAACTTGAAATTTCACACTTTCGCAGCAGAGCTCAGCGAGTTGCGCACAGCACAGCACGCCAGAAGACAATAAGTGTAAAGCCGAGCCGCGCCAAAAAAAACTGAGGGACAGAACTGCCGCACACTGTCGACGGGCTCAAGTCCACTCTCATGCCTCCACGCCCCTCCCTTGTCCTCCAAGGCCATCCTCTATCGCCCTCCTCATCCGCGAGGCACAATGACTGAATGTATGTATGTATGCATGCATGCATGTAGGTATGTATGTATGCGTATGGGTGAATGCGGTTATATACTGGTGTATGGATTGCTGGATGGATGTATGTGTGGATGTGTGTGTGGATGTAGGTATGTCTGTGTGTATGTGTGGATGTCTGTATGTACGTACGTACGTACGTACTTCTGTGCATCTGTATGTCTGTATGTTTGGTTGGTTGTGCATGTATGTATGTATACATGTTTGTATGGATGTATGTATGCATGCATTAAGCATGCATGCGTACATGTACAAGCCATAAAAACAACTACGTGCGCGCATCTATTCAGGCGTACGGGAGCCACGCGCGTTCTGCACGCGCGTAAGTTCGAGTCCAAGGCACTTACCACATGTGTAGTTAAGATATCTCGAATTCTGAGTCGGCTCGTCATGAGATGCTCTTGAGGGGCCTCTTGCGCTGTTTTGCTTACAACGTTTCTGGGGGTGGCTCTTACGGGATTCGGGGGCGTTATGGGAGCCTCTTGGGGGCATGTTGGGTGTCTCTGGGGCTATCTTGGGGGGAGGGCCGCCGAGGACCAATAGACTTTCCCATCTTTGGCTCCTCTGGAGCCCTTCGTGGAAGCATCTTGAGCCGTCTTCGGAGCATCGCAGGATATCTTGAAGCTAGCTGCACGGGCGTCGGTCCAAGGATAACGCCGCGCCAGCCTAGGGCACTCGGAGGACGATGACGACGAGGCCACGAGCACAGAGGAGGGAACAAACGCCGAAGCGACAGGAGCGGGAGAAAGAAACGCAAGGCCCCTGCGGGACCGCGCGCCCTCCGTGACGCCGTTCTCCGAGCCCGGCGCGAGCGGCCAATGGCCCGTGAAATCGAGGAGGCGGAGCTTGGAGGCACGCTGTATGTCTGCTTGCTTCGGTCCCTCGCGCGGGCTGTGGCCACCTTAGGCCAGAACACGCAGTGAATACAACCGGGTGCGTCTGGCAAAAGCGTTCACGTCTCTACACAGAGGCCAGCCGACACTGGGAATCACTCCAGGAAGGCACTGGGGAAGGCCTATGCGAACAGCCGCGCGAGGCAACACAATCGCCCCAGCCCCTCCGGACAACGTACACTGTTTGGATACACGACTCTTGAGCTTTCACGGTGCCCAGGACGGCCCAGGAGGCTCCCGAGACCGCCCCAAGACGGCCCAGAGGCCCCCACGAGAAGAGGGCCCAAAGACGGCCCAGGAGGCACCCAAGACGGCCCAAGAGAGCCACAAGACGACCACAATATGGGCCCAAGAGCAGGAGCCCGAACACACAACCCGAGCCTGCGGTCCAAAAATGCCCCCAGGAGGCCCTAAGAGGCCCCCCAAAGGCCCCAAGAGGCCCCAAAGAGGCCCCACGAGGCCCCTGAGACACCCCAAGAGGCCCCAAAACGTTCCCCCAAAGGCCTCAAAACTGCCTCCACGAGGCCCCCGAGAAGCCTCCCGCGATGTCCCATCGAACATCCGAGAGCCGGATGGCCCACAACCCAGGCACGGTGGCGGGATGGGCCGAATGCCATTCGATCCGCCGCCCCCTTTTGATCCGCCGCCCCCTGTTGATTCATCAAAGGGGTGCCTGGCGTGCTGAACTTCTTACGGTTTTGGTTTTGGTTCTTTCCCAAGAGAACTCTCCCAATGGGCTCGGGCGCGTCCAGACGGGGTCCCGGGAGGATGCCGAAAGATCTTCCAGAGGTGGTTCCAAAGGGTTTTTCCGTTCCAGACGGCTCCAAGATGGCCCAAGATGGCCTCCAGGATGCCTCCAAGACGGCCAAGATGCCCTCCGAGACGGCTAAGATGGCCCCAAGATGCCTCCAAGACTGGTCCAAGAGGCACCCAAGACGGCCTAAGATAGTCTCAAGATGGCCCAAGACGGCCCAAGAGGCCCTCAAGAGGCCTCCAAGACGGCCCAAGAGGCCTCCAAGAGGTCCTCCAGGAAGGCCCGAAGAGGCCAAAATCGTTGATTTCCGTTGGGTAATTGAAAGATTTTGGCATTTGCGCCTTTTCGGCTTTCCGACGGCCCAAGACGGCTCAAGAGGCCCCCAAGATCGCCCAAGAGGCCTCCTGGATGGCCCCATGACGGCCCAAGAGGCTCCCACGACGGCCCCAAGAGGGCCCGAAGACCCCGAAGCGCCCAGACGGCCAAAAGGACCTCCAGACGGGCAAGATGACCTTCAAGATGCCCACGGGTTCCCCGAAGGCTTTCCTAACCGATTCGGGGAACACATGGTCCGATAGCCTGGCAGGTCTGGCCTCAACGCTATAGGCGCTTCCAAAAGGGCAGGGGGCGGCGGTGATTCGCCGTAGGCGTATTTCATCCGCCCCTCGTCGATTCATCGCAGGGGTGCCTGGCGTGCTAGACCCTCTCGGTTTTGGTTTTAGTTCTTTCTCCAAAAGAACTCCCCCTGGGGCTTCGGCTCGTCCGGCCTGCCACCCGGGAAGGACCTCAATTGTGCAATGTGTCCTCCAAGACGGCTCAAGACTGCGCCAAGATGGCCACGTTGGCCCAAGATGGCCTCCAAGATAGTCCAAGATGGTCTAAGACGGCCTCCAAGACGGCCCTAGAGAGTCCAAGACGGCCCCCCAGAGGCCTCCAAGACGGCCCAAGAGGCCTCCAAGAGGTCCTCCAGGAGGGCCCGAAGAGGCCAAAATCATTAATTCCCAAGAGGCCCCCAAGATCGCCCCCACAACGCCCAAGAGGCCTCCAAGATGGCCTCAGGACTGTCCAAGAGGCCCCCAAGACGGCCTCAAGAGGGCACGAAGACGACCCAAGAGGCCTCCCAGACGCCCAAGATGGCCTCTAAGACGGCCCTGAAGCACCCCAAGAGGGCCCCAAGTCGGCCCAGGAAGGCCCCCCAAACGGCTTCCGTCGGCTCAGAGAGGCCCCCCAACGGCTTCTGACGGCGTCGGACGGGCCAGGAGCCCACCAAGACGGCAGAAGATGGCACTGAGATGGCCCAAGACGGCCCAAGAGGCCTCCAAGAGGGCCTCCAGGAAGGCCCAAAAAGACCAACATTATTGATTTCACAAGAGTTTTGAAGGATTGTGGCATTTGTTGTTTGTTGGCCTTCCGACGGCCCGAGACGGCCCAAGTGCCCCAAAAGATCGCCCAAACTTCCCAAGACGGCCCCAAGAGGCCCCCAAACCGGCCCAAGAGGCCTCCAAGACGCTCAAGATGGCCTCCAAGACGTCCTCCAAGAAGGCCCGAAAGGGTCAAAATGGCCTCCAGGCGGCCAAGATGACCTTCAAGATGCCCACGTGTTCCCCGAAGGCTTTCCAAACCGATTCGGGGAACACATGGTCCGATAGCTTGGCAGGTCTGGCCTCAACGTTCGGTCACATAGGCGCTTCCAAAAAGGCAGGGGGCGGCGGTGATTCACCGTAGGCGTGTTCGATCCGCCGCCCCCTGTCGATTCATCGCAGGGGTGCCTGGCGTGCCGAACTATATGGTTTTGGCTCTTTTCCCCAAAAAAACTCCTCCTGGGGCTTCGGCCCGTCCTACCGGCCACCTGGAAAACCCACCTGCCGTCGCCGTTGTTGCCCCAAGATGGCCCAAGATGGCCTCCAAGACGGCCAAGATGTCCCAGGATGGCCTCCAAGTTGCTCCAAGACGGCCAAGATGGCCTCAAAGACGGCTAAAATGGCTCCAAGATGCACCCAAGACGGCCCTAGATGGCCTCAAGATGGTCTAAGACGGTTCAAGAGGCCCGCAAGAGGCCTCCAAGACGGCCCAAGAGGTCTCCAAGAGGTCCTCCAGGAAGGCCCGACGAGGCCAAAATCATTGATTTTCCAGAGGTTTTTGAAGGATTCTGGCATTTGCGCCTCTTCGGCTTTCCGACGGCCCAAGACGACCCAAGAGGCTCCCAAGATCGCCCAAGAGGCCCCCAAGAGGGCCCCATGACAGCCCAAGTGGCCTCCAAGACGGCCCCAAGAGGGCCCCAAGACGGCCCAAAAGGCCTCCAACACGCCCAAGATGGCATCCAAGACGCCCAAGATGGCCTCCAAGACGGCCCCGAAGCGCCCCAAAAGGGCCCCAAGTCGGCCCAGGAAGGCCCCCAAGACGGCTCCCGACGGCGTCAGACGTGCCAGGAACACACCAAGATGGCCGAAGTTGGCTCGAAGCTTGCCCAAGGCGGCCCAAGAGGCCCCCAAGAGGGCCTCCAGGAAGGCCAGAAGAGGCCAAAAACATTGAGTGTCCTAAGGTTTTTGACGGATTTTGACATTTGCTTCTTTTCGGCCTTCCGACGGCCCGAGACGGCCCAAGTGCCCCAAAGATCGCCGAAAGATCGCCCAAAAGGCCTCCAAGATGGCCCCAGAACAGCCCAAGTGGGCCCCAAGACGGCCCCAAGACGCCCCCAAGAGGGCACAGGAGGCCTCCAACACGCCCAAGATGGGCTCCAAGACGGCCCTGGAGCATTCCAAGAGGGCCTCAAGTCGGCCCATAGAGGCCCCCCAAACGGCTTCCGACGGACCAGGAGCCCACCAAGACGGCCGAACATGGCCCTAAGATGGCCCAAGACGGCCCAAGAGGCCTCCAAGAGGGCCTCCAGGATTTCCCATGGGTTTTGGAAGGATTGTGGCAGTTGCTTTTTGTTGGCCTTCCGACGGCCCCAGACTGCCCAAGTGCCCCCAAAGATCGCCCAAGAGGCCCACGACACGGCCCCAAGAGGCCCCCAAGACGGCCCAAGAGGCCTCCAAGACGCTCAAGATGGCCTCCAATACGGCCCAAAGCCCTCCAAGGCGTCCTCCAAGAAGGCCCGAAAGGGTCAAAATGGCCTCCAGGCGGCCAAGATGACCTTCTGGATGCCCACGTGTTCCCCGAAGGATTTCCTAACCGATTTCGGGGAACACATGGTCCGATAGCTTGGCAGCTCCAGCCTCAACGTTCGGCCACACAGGCGCTTCCATCAAGGCAGGGGGCGGCGGTGATTCGCCGTAGGCGTCTTCGATCCGCCGCCCCCTGTGGTGGGATGCACAAAGACGTACTAGTACTATATGTCATCCTTGGACGCGCGCGTCCGACCCGAACATATAGTATACCCATCTTGTAGTATATCGTTTCCCGAGCGGTGTGGCCAGAATGCGCCCGCCACAACGCATATACTATAAGATTCCTCGGTGCGCGCATCGCCCCCGGGGGCGCGACGCACATATAGTATAAGTATGTTGGGGTGACGCCGATGTGGTCTTGCCATGAGGGTGCCTGGCGCCGCAGATCCTACTGGTTTGGCTATGGCTCCTGTGTAAGGGAACGCCCCCATGCGCGCCGACCGCCCGCGCGCCGACCACCCGGAGTGGCCCGCCCGCTGCGACACCAACGTCTCCAAAAACGGCCGTCTCGCCACGGACATCATCAAACCATCGTGATCTTGGAGGCCCTAGCCCAAGACGCCTTATGATCAGGATGAGCGTTTCGCACGAGACGTCCTCGAACAGTGGCGATGCTGAAACCGGCGGGCTCATCTTAGGATCTTCCAGAATGACCGCTTCGCTGCAGACCTCCCCAACAACAATGCAATGCTGCAAAAGGATGGATCGAAGATCATGTCGGAGCGATCTCGGATGACCTCCACGAAGGCCCAAGAAACGAAAATATTGAAAAACTCGAGGGGTTTGTCACATTGTTGTTCAAAAGTAAGCGTTTCGCTCGAGGCATCCCCTGAAAACTGCCTTCGGAAGGGTCCTCCTCCTCCTCCTCCACCGCCTCCTCCTCCTGATCCTCCTCCTCCTCCTCCTCCTTCTCCTCCCCTTCCTCCTCCTCCTCCTCCTCCTTCTCCTCCTCCTCCTGTCCCTCCTCATCCTCCTCCTCCCGTCTATTTTTCCTCCCTCTCCGCTTCTTCTTTCTCCCCTGCGTGTTTCCCGAAGAGCTTCCACAACGGCTGGGGGAAAACATGGTCTGATAGCTTGGCAAAGCTCCGGCCACGGCCACGTGGACGATTTGTTTCCGCTCTGGCTGCCCTGACCGAGTCGCGATGCACAAGCACAATGGTGAAACAATCACATACTCTGAGAGATAACTGGACGCTTCAAAGGTCAACTCTCTGCTTTTCGCTTCGCTTCCCATACAAACTGAATAACTTGCATTGCCAATCGCGGTCAACTCAAAAGAACTTCCGGCAAACAACATGAAACGACCTCTGTATCCAGCCCTTGTTATATTTCCGGTGCGCGGCTCCACCACATGGACCACAAAGGATGCAGAGCCGACTGTTCCAACATATCCTCCGTCGCAGTGGACCTGCAGAGGCTAACGATTCCACACGGCTGCAATAACCATGTCTGCATCCATGTTGCTCTTGTCGGCTCGTGACGACAGGATCCAATCGCCCACATAGCCGATTCCAACAGGCAGGGGGCGGCGGTAAGCGTCTTCGTATACAAGAGCGCTATATTTGAGACGTGCTGCGTGAGCGAGCCCATTCTGGAGCGGAGGCGGCCAAGAAATCCTCTGCGAGGCTCACCAAGCGTAACAGCATGCACAGGCAGGCACAGTAGTCAGGATCGCCAATCATCAAAGCTTCCTGTGCCACAGCCTGGTCGTTGCCAGCCGCACAGACATTACCCACTTTGACAGGGCCGCCTGCGACATCCACGTCTTCTTGTGCTTCAGGGTATGCTCGAACAGCCTGAGGACTAAGGTCTCGTCACCCTCACATGTGAAACGCGTGCGCTTGAATGCCTGGCGAAACCCCTCCACTGAGTCTGCGTTCAGCCTCTTGCCAGTGTAAACCAGGTTCCCCGGACCCCTGTGGTGGGGTCTCCCATGGTGTGAGAGAGCCTCTCACTCTAAAGGGAAAAACAAGCAACTGCATAAACATAAACTTGTGAAGCTCCGCGAGGACTTCTTGGATCTGAACTGAACCCCTCCCACTGGCGCGGGGAACGCGCCAAGGTGCTCCAACGCAGATACGAGAAATCCGCCTGGAACTCCGACAATTTCGTGCCTATGCCATCTGTGAGCCCCGTGGTGATCACTGAATCAGCCGCCTGCTTGTCGGAAAGTTTCGAAAGCGACCCCGGGTAAACTGGAAATCCAGCGCCTCTTGATGAGCGTTCGGGGGAGGCCGCCACCAACGACAGTCCCAGCCCGACTCCCCCACGAGCTGACTGCGCCACAACTCTCGCGGCGCCCGGCGCCGTGAAGGCGGCCAAGACTGCACCAGGCCGTCTTTAACTGCCCTAAGGTATACCCCAAGACGGTCCAACGACTCCCCAGAAAGCCGCGCGACAGATCGACATGGCAGCCAGCTTGGACCCAGAACAGCACGTTTCTAACAATATAGGAGGTGCAACATCTGCTGTACAACCGGCGTGGTTCGATCCACGAAGTGCGATTAGCATTGTGCCCCCTATGGTGTACAATATACGTCGCGCAATCTATGTTTTGCCATATCTGGTGGGCAACCCGCGTGAAGCAATTTAAACGGTGCAATGCATGTGGTGTTCTATTAGCGGTGTTGTATATGCGGTGCCACATTTCTGGTGCGACCTATGTTGTGCAAATTCGGTGTGCGCTCTAGGTGGTGCGATCCACGTGATGCAATCTATGCGGTGCAATAAACGTGGTGCAATCCATGTGGCGCAACTGATGTTTACAAGAAAAAAACACATTCCAAGCCGTTGCAAACATCCCACCCACCAACCCGCAAATTGGTGTGCTAACTTTACGCGGCGGCCAATGCAATCAGTGTTTGGCGTTGGCTGGTGCATCTCTGCGGCCGCCCTGAGTCGCGCACGCTCGCGCGCACAGCGGCCAACTAGTTTGGCGCGACCGACGCGGCCGCAGTGGCGCTGACCGCTGTGTACTTCCCAGCGGGCACTTCAGTGCGAATCGGGGACATGGGCGGGCGCGGTATCATGGCGACGCCGACAACGGTTGACACGATTACGATAGCAGCGACGATGGTGACGATGGTGGCGATGACGACGACAAGGCAAATGACGGTGCACATATTGAACACGCCCGCCGATAACGATGACGATGTCCTCGCGTCGGCGATGGAGGTTTTAGAAGGCAGCCGACATGCGCGCGCGACCGACGCGCGCGAGTGGTCCGTGTGGGATTATTTGACACGGATCGTATCGTCCCCCCCCCCAGCACGCGCAAGGGCGTCCCCCACCCGCCGGCAATTTGGTTTGCAAAGCCCATGCGACGGCGACTGCGATGAGTGCTTGGTGTTGGCAAGTGCATCTCTGCGGCCGCGCTGGGTCGCGCATGCTCGCGCGCACAGCGGCCAACTAGTCTGGCGCGACCGACGCGGCCGCAGTGGCGCTGAACCGCTGTGTACTTCCCAATGAGCATTTCAGTGCGAATCGGGGACACGGGCGGGCGCGGTATCATGGCGACGCCGGCAACGGTTGACACGATTACGAGAGCAGCGACGATGGTGACGATGGTGGCGATGACGACGACAAGGCAAATGACGGTGCACATGTTGATCACGCCCGCCGATAACGATGACGATGTTCTCGCGTCGGCGATGGAGGTTTTAGAAGGAAGCCGACATGCGCGCGCGACCGACGCGCGCGAGTGGCCCGCATGGGATTATTTGACACGGATCGTTACCCCCCCCAGCACGCGCGCAAGGGCGTTCGAATGAGTTCGACATGCGGCGCGGGAAGCCCGCTTGGCAGAATTTGACGAACGTGTTGAAAACCAATGGTTTCGGTACGATTCCGCAAAACCACGAGCGCAGTTTTTGTTACACCTGCTGCTGCAAGTACATATGTTCTGCATGTTTCGGAACACCGATGTTTTGAAATCCTTGCGAAACTTAAGGTTGTTGAATGGTTTCGGCATGCGCGCGCGACGACGCGCTCGTGCGCACTTCGTTCCAAACGGTTGCAAGGAATGTTTGCAAACTGATGGAATGTGATAAACGCGCGCGCATAATATGTTGCAAAGGATTGGGGGGGGGGGGGGCGAGACCCGGCCTGGCAGGGATGGTACGAATTCAAAGGGAATGTGAACAAGAAACCATAGTCAGCTCAACACTGCAATGCGCGCGGCAGGCTTGATAAGTCCGGGGGGAGAACTGAATTTCTTTTAGGCAAGGAGAATCTACGCTTAGGTCGGGCATGTCCCCCTACAGGGGAATTTTGGATTTAAAATACAACATACTCAAAACATATTCAACGGATGCCAAACAATACTCAAAAAGTAGTCCCCAGCCTATGTTTTGAGCATGTTTGGAATATCCCCCCTGTAGAGGGACAGGCCCGACTTGAATCTACGCGATGCAATATGTGCGAGGCGGCGACGTGTCGGCAACAATGGCGACGGGGCGGGCGCACGGAGCTGCCAGACCGACAGTCAGGGCCAGACGACGGGCGGCGATGAGGCGGCGACGGCGAGCACGGAGCCGCCAGGCCGAGAGTTAGGGCCATTCCTGAGGCCAGACATAGGACATGGAAGCAACCCACATGACTTCCAGTGCATGCCAACTCCCGAGACTTCTCGGCTTCAGATGACTGCAGGAAGGCGCCCGGGAGCCACACGACGCCGCCAAAGCACCGCAAGACGGCCCCAAAACTGCCGCCCAGACCGCACCAAGATCCGCGTGGACTGCCGAAGCTTCGTTCTACCGAGCTCCCGAACCCCCAACACGTCCCGAAAAGCCTCCCAGAAGCTTCAATACACCCCCAGACACAGCCCCAAGATGTCCAAGGAGGCCTCTCGCGAGGCCCTTGGAGACAAAAAATCTTGTAATTCGCTTCCGAATCATTTTGGCCCCAGACGTGTCCAGAAACTCTACGAAAACCTCGAAACGCCCCCAGACGGCCTCAGAACGCCCCCTAGACGGCCCCAAGACGGCTCCAAGACAACGGCCCCCGGACCCTTCAACAAGCCCCGACGAGACCCCCAAAATGCTCAAAATGCCACCGAAAACTGCCTCAAGACAGCCGAAGAGCCCCCCAGAAGCTGCAAGGTGCCCTGGAACACGGCCTCGCAACGCCGAAGACGAAGGAGGCCTTCACATCGATACCAGGGAGCCACATTCACATGGACCAACAGCATATGGATGCCTAGGATGTTCGCTCCGAAGCTGTTCGGCTTCGGGAACGCGCCCCGGAGCGTCACAAAGCCCCCGAAACGCTCTTAGCCAGGCCCCCAAGACAGGCCAAAGACGGCCCCGAGAGACGGTCCACTAACGCGCCGAAAGTAGAGGCATACATACTAGATGGGGTCCGAGCAGATGTGGTCGGAGGATTGCACCGCATCGCCGATGTATCGCCGATGCATCGGCGATGCATCAGCGACGTCGGCGATGCCTCGGCGACATCGGCGTGGGGAAAATCGGGCTCCACATCGAGCCGCATCGCCGATGCATCGGCGATGCATCGGCGATGCGGCGCGATCCTCCGACCCCATCTACTCCGACCCCATCTGGGAGGCCTAAAGAAAGAAGGCCCCCAGACCGCACCGACATCTTCCCGGGCGGCGCAACAACTGTCCGACCGAGCCTGTTCCCAGGTCAGCTAACTTCGCGCATCGCGCCCCGCGATGCGCGATTCTCCCCTCGCAATCGCGCCTTCGCGGCACCCCCTTGGAGAAGGGCAACCAGTCTTACCCAGACCGCGACGCGCGAAGCTCGGTGATCGTGCCGCCGGGAATGATCCAGTCTGCGAGAGAGTCCATCACGCTCTTCACGGTCAAATTCTGCCCCCAGACCCCCTGCAAGCCCCCCGAGCACCCCAGGAGCCCGCAAATCCCCACGAGGTCAGCCCGAAGACGCCCGCCATGAGGCCCGCAAGGGGCCCCCGACAGAGGCCGTTTGGGTTTACGCAGCACGGCACGAACTTCAGCGCTGCTCACAACTTCACCAACATAACGAGAAGAGGCCAGTGATGCACCACCGCCGTCCTCTAGAATGACACAGACAAGAGCAAGAGGAACAGGAGAGGAAGAGGACTAGGACGAAGAGGAGGATAAGCAAGAGTAGCATCGCGAGTAAGCACAATACGATTAGGAAGAACATGAGGAAACGCTCAAAGGGGAAGGGGACGGGGAGGGGGACAGGGAAAAGGAGGAGCAAGCTAAGGATGATGGGGGAGGGGAGGGGAGGCAAAGGAAAAAGGCGAGGCAGAGGTGTGGTGGGAGAGAAATGTGGGAACCTAAACAGGGCTGATATCGCTGCTCCTCGGACCTCTCCCGGGGCGCATTCTGACCAGGACCTCGAGGCGAATCCAGAGGTGCCGGCAATGGCTTCCCAGGAGGCCGAGAACAGTGGGAAACGGGGGAAGGGTAGCGGTATTGGTACCTTCCCAGACATGCGGCGTCCTGATTTTTTTCAGTACGAGGCCCCCTGAAATCCCGACCCTCTCCCCAGGACCGGCTTTTCATCCTGAGTCGTTGTTTGACGGCCCTGGGGCCCGGTAAGGGCCCCCAGAAGTCGAAAATAACCAAACAACGTCCGTCGTGTTTTCTTCATCACGTGAGGGTGTCTGGGTTCCCTGCTTGGAGGAATACGAACAGAAACATTGTTGCCTGCCCCAGGGTGCATCTCGCGAAGCGGATGGGGATCTTGACAATGGGGCTGGTCACCGAGTTTGCGATGTTCCCGTACGCCAGGGCGAGGGAGAACTCAAAGAAACACCAGCCTTAGGTCAGGGATCGACCCAAACATGGTTTTCTTGTTTTCGTTTTGTTGTCGTTTTCCCCCGTTGTGTCTTTAATCCGCCTTTGCTGCTAAACGACATCGAGACGAACACGGCCCACAAAACCGCCAAAGTTCCGTTTAGGTCGCTCCCTGCCTTCGGTGAATCTTTCAGGAAGCGCATTCTACCGTACACCTTCTCAGTCTGGTAGCCTTTCGTGGCCTTCAGCGCATTGGTGTATGATCAGCGGCCTCTAGTGGCCTTCAGTCGCCTGTCAGCAGCCTCTAGTCTAGTGGCCTTTGGCGGCCTTTGGTGGCCTTCAGCGGCCTTTCGTCGCCTCTACAGAAGTGCAGAGAAGTGTACGGTGCATTCTGACATGCGCTTCCAAAAAGACCCACTTGACCAGCCTCGTGAAAGGTACTCGTTGCTCATGCTGAGCGCGCGCGTTTGAGCACGGGAGGACAGTGATAGGGATGAACGTAGGGATGAGCATATTGACTCTGACCTGTTGACTCCCAAAGGCAATATTATCACAGGAACGCCCCCAACACTGTAGAGCGCCTGCATCGAATCCAGCGCCTTCTTGAATAGCAACTCATCGGTCTCGCTGCGGACAGCCGGGTGCTTGCCAGGCTCCGGGCACGCCCCAGCGAGCTCCAGGCGCTGCAAGTCCTGGTTCTGCATGTCGTGTTGCGGCAACCCCATATAATCTATGAATACGGCATCATCGTCGGACGCGCTCAGCAGGTCCAACTGCTCAACTAAGTCCTGCAGCTTCAACCCGTCGGGGTCGGGATGGTGTTTTGAAAACCAGGGGTGCGATACCGCGTACCGATGCTTGGGCTCGTCCCTGGAACGGGGCAAGCCCTCGCTGCCGATGACTGCCTCGGCAACGGGCACCTCCTGGCAACGCACCATCGTGGAGCCTGCTTCGGCCAGTCGCCGGAGATAACGGCATCGAACCCACTTGATCTGGGCGTCGTCCAGGTAAATGAGAAATTCCTGGTAGCGCTGCTGCAGCTCGCCCGAGCTATAAGGGTTCACCCTCTCGAAAGAGTCCACCGCCAACCGCCGGAACGATCGCGGCCCAGAAAGGCCGGAGAGACAGGCCACCTGCAGACAATTGAAGGCGTGGTTGATGGCGTGAGCCCAGGCGCAGGCGTACCACAATCCATCATCGGAGGCGTTGCTGGTGGATAAGACGTTGAGGACGCCCTCCGCGCACAGCAGCAGTGTGGCCGCCACGATCAATGCGGCCGTGAAGCGAACCCAGCGCACTTCCCCCTCCAGATCTGTGTATCCAGAGTCAGCGGCGCGCGCGGCGGTGATCAGAAGGCCCACGGTCCCGCAGCACGCAATCGTTATCGCGCCGAAAATGGCCACCAGCAGCCCCACAAGAGCAGCCTGATGCAGCACAGCAGGCACGAGCCCGGTGTCTGGGCCTGGCCAGCCGAGGGCAAAGAGTGTGGACCAGGCCAAACCCGCGCTGAGCAAGCACACCAGGACGAAGCGGAGCATGGCCCGAGCCATCCGCGCCGTCCAGAGGCGCCGCAGCGTGCGGAGCCTCAGTATGATGATGTGGAACGGGAGAACCATAGTCGCGAGGTAGGCCCCGTAGGTCAGCGCGGTGCACGCTGCGCGCCACACCGCGCCCGCCGCGCCGTGGCACCCTGGGTACAGGACAGGCTGGGCGAGCCAGGCCACCGCGGCAGCAGTGGAGCACGCCCCGAAGCGCTGAGTCCACGCGTGCAGCGGCACGGGGCGGGCGCGCCGGCGCACGGTGACGCACCAGGCCGCGAAGGCCAAGGACGCGGGCGCGGCCAGTGCGAAGTACGGCCAGGAGATGGCCCAATAGTCGCGGCCGCCACGCAGGCCATCGCCCCAGCACGGGCGTGCCGTGGCCAGGTAGTCCGCCGCGGGCCCACCGAGCGCCAGCAGCGCCAGGGCGAGCAGCGAAAGCCGGGCGCCGAGCAGGCGGCGGGTGCCCTCCTGCGCGCCCTCGTCGCTGTCGCTGTCGCGCGCAGCGGCGGCTCGGCGGGAGGAGCTGCTGCCCGCCGTCTGCTCCCCGCTGCTCACCGTCGGCGTGTCGGTGTTCACCTGGGTCACCAGCGCCAGCGGCGGAGCCGGGGCCTCCGCATCCAGACTCCGGACATGCGACGTCCTGATTATTTCGGCACGCGGTCCCCGAAGTCCCGACCCTTTCCCCAGGACCGGCGGTGCATCCCGAGTCGCTTTTGACGGTCCCGCGGCCTGGTGCAAGGGCCCCCAGGAGACCCCAAACAGCCAACACGCACCTGCTCACGACGCGAGCATGTCTGCCGGAATCGGCACGGGGGTTGCCGACAAAGCACAAGGGAGTTTTACCTGTGGATGTCACGGCGGGTGATATCTGACCCAACCCAATTCGCACGTGTTAAACATGTCCCAACTGGCTCAGGGGACTTAACGATCTGGGCGAACTGGGCTCAGCCACTCGGGGCATGTAGCCCACGTATATAGACGAACAGGAACATGCAAAACCATGTGTTGGAGGTCGGCGCGGGTTTCTTGGGTCGGAGCTGGACCCCCATCCCTGGCGCGGAGCGCACAAGGGGCGGCGCTTGATGCACTGCCAGAGGGACCCAACGCCTGTCCGAGAAATCTGCGCGGAGCGCCGAATTCTGGATTAGGCCAGGTGTGGCCCACATTAACATCCCTTGACAGCCACCCTATCCCCTTCAGAGAAATCTTCCAAGTGGGGTCCGAGTAAACGGGGTCGAGGATCGCGCTGCATCGCCGATACATCGCGGGGCTTTCGGCGTGAGGAAAACTGGGCTCCACATCGGCGATGCGGCGCGATCCTCCGACCTCATCCACTCAGATCCCATCTGGCAGACCTATAACTTAGGGAGGGGGAGAAACCTGGGACCAGGACCGAGACTGAACGCGCACATGTCGTGTCCATCTTGGTCACCGTCCATATTGGTCAGCGTCAATTCGTGAGCCATCCTCCCGAATCGGCGCCGGCTGGCATGGACCATGATGACCAAGACCGGCGTCGACACGATCCCGCGAAATCTTGGCCATGGCCAGCGTGTGCGTTCGGCCACTCCGAAGAATGTCGCGCCCCCTAGGCCCCTTCGGCGCCGATCGCAAACCGCACCCCGGCGAAGCCACACCCTTTGTAGTCGCCGATCTTTCCCCCTCCTCCGCTTGTGGGGAAACCACAAGGTACCAATACCGCTAATCCCCTGGCCCCTCATGGAGTGCGTTCTCACCAGAATTTCGAAGCGAATCCAGCGGTGGTGACGAGGGCCTCCCAGAAGGCTCAAGAAAGGGAAACGAGGCAAGGGTAGCAGTATTGGTACCGTTTCCTACTCCGATTGTAGTCGCCGACGTGTTCCTCCCCTCGCACTTAGCTCGGCAGCGCGCCTGGGGGGAGTGAGAAGGAGCGAGCCTTCTCTGAAGGCTCGGAAGTCCCCCAGCGTTTCCTTGTGAGAAGTTCTCTGAACTTTCACCGAACAGAGAGGAAACCTCTCAGAAGGCGCGAGGGCTTCTGAGAAACCACGCCGCCTTCTGGGAAAGCCTTCTCCTTCTCACTTCCCCCCCGGGCGCGCCGCCGAGTTTGGTTTCCGGGTCCTGACTCAAGCCTCCAGCGGCCGTTCGGGACGATCCGGGCACCCCCGGAACGCCCTCGGTGAGGCGCAGCTGCTGGCAAGCACCCCGAGGCTGGAAAACCGCCGAGAACCGACGAAAACGACGTCCGAACACCTCGAGCCTCGAACCCCGACACTCCTCCCCCCTCGCTCGCCGACGTGCTCCTTCCCTCGCACGCCGCAGCCCCGCACTTCGAGCCCACGGCGGGGGCCTCCGGCGGCCCGCCGCCCCGCGCGGCGCGGTGGGCCGCAGGCGCGGGGCCCGAGGCCTCGGCGGGCGGCGGGTGTGCGGCAAGAGCCGTGGCCGGCAAGCGGTCGGGCGTGGCCAGCAAGCGCCCCGTGGCCAGCAAGCGGCCGGGTGTGGCCAGCAAGCTGTCGGGTGTGAGCCGTGGCCCAAGGTGCCCGCAGCTCTTGGCTCCAGCTCGGAGCCCCCATAGGGATCCTCTGGGCCTCGTGGAGGGTGCCCTGGAGGCCGCCCGGGCCACCCCAGGGATCCTGGGGGGACCTCGGGCCAGGGGTACTCCAAGCAACACCCGACAGCTCGCTGGCGCGCGAGTGCACGGGAGGGCGCGAACCACCCGGGACGCACAGAGTCAGAGGAACACCAGAGGTACTCCTTCAAGGCGCACGTCCGACCCGAACATCTAGCACATCCGTCTCGTGGCAAGAGTCAGTTCCCGAGCGGTGTGGCCGGAAAGCGCCCGCCACGACGCACACATAGTTTTTAGTATGTTGGGGTGACGCCGATCAATGGGGGGGGAACGGGCCCTGTTTGGGCCCGGAGGGCCCCCTTGGGGGCCCTAAAGGGCGCATGGGCCCCTCTTCGGCAGCCCTCGCTGCCACCCCCATGTATCGCCCCCGCCTTACACGTCCTCCGATTTGAGACAAAATGAATCGACCCGGCATTCCTATAAGCCTGCCGCGAAATACTCCTAGAGCAACAAATTCTCCCAGAACAAAACCAATGCTCTCAGAAGATTGGGCCGATGTGTTAAGGACAAGACGGCCTCAGCCAAAACTGTTCTGACAACATTTCGTGCAAGCTACATGGCGGGCCTATAGGCAAGCCAGGACAATTCGCCACTGCTTGAACAGTAAGTTCGTGCGGCGTTGGCGCTAGAAGACATGTTTGACGCCGCGTCGACGATTCAACCTTGAACCGATCACGGCGATCGTTCGAGGTTGAATTCGGTCGGGTATAATGGCGTTACCGTGTCCATCGGTGCTTCCGCGTCGCAGAATTCAACCTTGAACGCCTTCACCAGCGTCGTCGGCGCGTGAACGCCGCACGAACCTACCGTATCCACTGCAGCTAGGAGTTTCGGGCTCCCTTCCCCATAAACCCGAGGCGCACTGGACATGGATAAGAACCGGTCCCCCGGAGGCTCGATCTTTGTCCGTGTCCAGCGCGCCTCGGCCTGGCGGCGCCCCTTCCAAGAAAGTCCAAGACGCACTGGATCGGGTTGAGGGGGCCGAACGGCCATTCTCTGTCCCTGGGTGCGTGGCCGAAGTGGGGCTTCGCGGTGCGGCTTGTTGTTGCCGGCCCGCGACCCACCCGCGACCCACCCGCGACCCACCCGGGACCCGCCCGCGACCCCCCCCGCGCCCGCCCCCTCACTGTGACCCGCAAGTGCGGGGCGCCGCGTACGCGTCGTTCATTTCTGATCGTGCTCATTTCCAATGGTGCTCGTTTCTGATTGTTCCCGGCCTCCTCGTGGCCAGGAAGAGGCCCAGGATAGAACACTTTGAAATGAGAGAATCTTGGCCCCCCAAAACATCGAAGAACTTTCGAAGAATTAGACATGAACAACGCGTATGGACATCACTATTGCTCGCGTGGTGTTCTGGCTCGGGCCCCCGGCGCGGCGCCTCGCTGCTGGGCGTGCCCGGGGCCGGCGGCCGCGCAGGGAGGCCGAAGAGCTGCGGCGAAGGGCCACCGCCGTGAGGCGGCGGCGCCACACTCTGCGGCGCCGCCATCTGGGACTCTGCGCGCCCCAGACGTGCTCGCGTCGTGACGGAGTCTCGGAGGCGAGCGAGGGGGGGAAGTGAGAGAAGGCTCGGAACCCCCCTGGCCTTCTGAGAGGCTTTCTGGGCCTTCCCCGAAGGCGCAAAGAACTTCTCAGACTGCGCGGGGGGCTTCTGAGAAGTCCCGCCGCCTTCCGAGAGGGCCTTCTCCTTTTCACTTTCCCCCCTCGCTCGCCGCCGAGAGTCAGGACGGGTTTTTGTTGCACCCCCGTCTTCCAGAGAGAGATGGGGTCCGAGTTAGATGGTGTCGGACCGCGCAGCATCGCAGAAGCATCGGCGCTGCATCGCCGATGTACATGCGACGTCGGCGATGCATCGGCAACGCTGGCGTGAAAGAAATGATGATCCGCATCGAGCAACATCGCCGATGCATCGGCGATGCGGCGCGATCCTGCGACCCCATCTACTCGGACCTGGGAGAACCACAAGGTACCAATACCGCTACTCCCTGGACCTCCCGGGGTGAGTCCTGATCAGAACTTTGAGGCGCATCCAGCGGTGGTGACGAGGGCCGCCCAGGAGGCCGAAAAAGGCTTGAAAATGGGGCAAGGGTACAGGTATGGATACCTTCTCCTCCTCCGATCGTCGTCGCCAACATCCGTCGTCGTCGTCGTCGGCCGTCTTCGTCGTCGTCGCCTCCCGTGTTCCTCTGGTCGTTCTTCCACCCTCGTCGTCCTCCTCCTCCTCCTCCTCCTCCCTCCTCCTCTGTGATCGTCATCGTCCTCCTCCCGCAGAGATGCCACCCTTTTTCCTCCTCCGAGTTGAGGAGGCCGCCTGAATTCTGTGAGACGGTAAAACTGCTAGGGGGCCACATGCGAACCTTATCCCTACTCCTCACGATTTCTGAGGGGGAGGGGGAGGGGTAAAGGTAGGGTTCGCATGAGCCCCCCTAACTGAAACTCCAGCATGGATGCCTCGGATCTGCGCCCGGGCCCTCGCCGCCCCGGGCGCGCTGCGCGCGCCAGGGGGCGGGTCCAGCGCAGCTCCAAGAGATCGGCGCGGAGCTCCAAGAGCTTGTGCTTTACTAAGACGAGTCCAGGACGAGGAAAACATCTGGTGAGCATAAATCGAGGATCACTGAGCTCTGGTGGTTCTGGAGGACATGTACATATCGAACGCCGCGGCCTTCTCAGAGCGTTCCGGAACGCTCCGAAAGCGTTCCAGAACGGTCTGGAATGGATTTATCCTTGTCCTAGCCCCATCTGGTCTATGCCAGCTTTTCTTGTTCGATGTTCGGCCAAAAAGCGACTCGAGATGGAGAGCTGGTCCCGCTGAGGCGGTCGGGACTTCCGAGGAGCTCGTGCTGAGAGAATCAGGACACCGCATGTCTGGGGCGCGCGCGTGCGCGCGCGGTGGCAGCTAGGCGACAGCTCGGCGTGGCCGCCTGCGCCGAGAGCCACCTTGCGTGTGCTACGGCGGCAGACATCCACCAGAGCCACGCGCGCGCGCAGCGCGCGCTCAAGTTCTGGCCAGACAAAGGGCATCGAATCAAGGTTGCGGAACTGTTACCCTCGCCACATACCGATCCTCTTGTATTAGCTCCCCCTTCGGGCAAGCGTTCCCTTCGTCGCCAGAATCCTCGTGTGGCTTGTCATCTACGCATGCGTCACGTCCTCACTCTCGTTCGCTTCATACTCTCTTGCCAACTAATTCGCAGATCTTCGGCTTTATGCCTTTTACATGGCCTCCATGAGCTCCGAACAGTGCTGCATATGACCATCATAGCCAGGCCCATGTCCTATCCCATGATTTCCTTGCTGCATCTCTCTCTCTCTCTCCTTCCCCCTCTCTCTCTCTCCTTCTCTCTCTCTGTCTCTCTCTTTTTTGCGCAGACACATGCACACACACACACTCTCTCTCTCTCTCTCTCTCTCCCCCTGAATATATCTGAATGCTAGCACCGCGCGCAGGTGCTTCACGCGCACAGCAGGTTCCAGCGCAGGCCGTGCCGCTGTGGTGGCACGCCGGCCGAGCCGTCCGGAGCCGCCCCCTCCCGATCCGAGTCGTCCCGAGGTCGACCGCCCGAGGCTCGAGGCACGGCCCCGAGGGCCGGCGGGAGTCGGAGGGAGGGCGGAGGGATGGGACAGGGAGGGGGAGGGCTGGATCGAGGATCGAGGAAGGAGGCAGGGTCGAGGAGGGGGGAGGGAAAGAGGAGGGGGGAGGAGGGAGGAGGGAGGGAGGGAGGCGGGAGGAGGAGGGAGGGAGGAGGGAGGGTGGGAGGACTGAAGGGAGGGCGGGGGAGGGATGGATCGAGGAGTGAGGGAGCATCGAGGGGGGAGGGAGAATCGAGGAGGGAGGGAGCGAGGAGGGAGGAGCAGGAGGGAGGGAGGAGGGAGGGAGGAGGGAGGGAGGAGGGTGGGAGGACCAAAGGGGGGGAGGAGGGATGGATCGAGAATCGATGGAGGCCGAAGCCTTGAACGAAGTCCATGTTCGGCGATGACGGGCGTCATGGGGGGGGGAGCGGGGGGGGTATGACGTAACGCCCCCCCCCGCCGTGTGGCCCCGGCTCCGGCCATGACGCCCGTCATGCCCCAAGCAATAAAGAAACGGGCTCCTCCTTCCCCTGCTCCGGGGAGGGGCTCATCACTGTTCCCTCTTAGTGTACGACCCCGCCCCCAAGCGGCAGGCAGCCAACCAGAACAATGCCGATCTTATGCCTCCCACCCCCCCTCCATCCCTGCCAAACCAATACAAAACGCACTCTGCCTCCACATTTGGAGCTTGCGCGGCCAACCCGATGCGCACCCCCCACCATCCCTGTAAACAAAAACAATACAAAGCACGTTGGTACAAATCTCTTGAATTATGCTCGCGAGGACCGCGATTATGTTGTATTGCTTTTGACAGGGACGGCGGGGGTGTCAGCATATTCCCTGCTGCGCGCAGGGCCACCATCCCTGTCACAAAAACAATCCAGAATACACCTCGCGACTAAATCTGGACCATGCTCGCCCACCCCGCGATCACTGTCAAGTGGTTTTTGACAGGGACGGCGGGGGTGCTGGCCTATGGCCTGCTGTGTGCAGGCCCACCAGACACCATGATGGGCAGTGGTGTTCGGCTCGGATGGTGGGGGCCGACATGTTGCCCGATGCGTGCTGTCACGTGCGCAGGCGCACCTGATGCACTCTGCACGTGGCCCGAACGTGGCGCACCCGGCGCGGCTGGAGTGTGCGGCAAAAGCTGGCGCACTCGGAGGCACGTGGCGCATCTGGCGCACCAGGCGTGCCTGGCACGCTCGGGCCCCAGGAGTGCCTGGCGCGCGTGGCGCCCTTGGCACGCGTGGCGCACCTCGCCCAAGCGTCGTGCACCTGGGGTCGGTTTGTGGTTTCCAGTAGCTGCCCATTCAAAAGACGACCGCTGAACATGCTGAGGCTCGGGTGCTACTTATGTGTCGGGGAGGCGAGTGGGAGTGAGCTAGACAGCTTGCGTGCGGGTGGGTAGCTTGACCACTGTTCCTTCTTTATACAGATACATCCTCCCCCAGGCGACCAGCGCCCAACCAGGAACCATGAGGACACCATGACGACCCGCCCCCCACCACCCGTGTCAAAACAAAACCATACAAACCGCACTCTGCCTCCACATTTGGAGCATGCGCGGCCAACCCGGCGCGCCCCTCCCAACCACACCTATCAGAAAACCATACAACATACAGTTATGAGGCCCGCGAGCACGTTGTGTTGTTTTTGACAGGCACGGCGCGGTTGTCAGCATATGCCCTGCTGCGCGCAAGGCGACCAACCCTGACAACAAACCACATGCATCTCGCGACTGAATCTGGACCGTGCGAGGCCATCCCGCGATCACTGCCGAATGGTGTTTGACAGGGACCACGGGGGTGGTGGCGTATGGCCTGCTGTGCGCAGGCCCACCAGACACAATGATGGGCATTGGTTTTCGACTGGGATGGTGGGGGCCGACATGTTTCTTGATGTCTGCTGTCACGTGCGCGGGCGCACCAGCTACACTCTGCACGTGCCCCGAACGTGGCGCACCTGGCGCGGCTGGAGTGTGGCGCACTCGGAGCCCGTGGCGCATCTGGCGCACCGGGCGTGCCTGGCACGCGTGGTGCACCTCGGCCAAGCGTCGTGCACCTGGGGTCGACTTTGGTTTCCAGTAGCTGCCCATCCAAAAACGACCGCTGAACATGCTGAGGCTCGGGTGCTACTTATGTGGGGCATTTGGAGCATGCGCGCCAACACGATGCGCCCCCCCCCCCCGCACCATCCCGGGCGTGTCAGCATATTGCCTGCTGCGCGCAGGGCCGCAGGGCTACCATCCTTAGCAACAAGAAGCCATACAACATGCACCTCGCGAATAAATCTGGATAGTGCGCGGCCGCCCCGCGATCACTATCAAGTAGTTCTTGACAGCGACGGCTGGTGTGGTGGCGCGTGGCCTGGTGCGCGCAAGTCCATCAGACACAATGGTGGGTTTTGGTTGTCGACTGGCATGGTGGGGGCCGACATGTCTCCCGATGTGTGCTGTCACGTGCTGCCCATCCAAAGACGACCGCTGAACATGCTCAAGCTTGGGTACTCCTTCTGCGTTGGGAGGGCGGGTTGGAGTGAGCCAAACGACTTGCTATCTAGGGGGCGTCTTGACCCCTATCCCTACCCCCTCCGCTGGGCCTGGGAGGGGCGGGGGGCGGGGCGCGACCCGTTGGAGCGCACAAAATGGTCGAAGAGTGTCCCAAGAGGTTTTCCTCCTTGGTCCCACAAGGTCGAGCATGGCTCAAAATAGCCTCCGGCAGACCTCTAAGAGGCCTCCACACAGCCTCAAGATAGTCCGACCTGGCTGAGCATGGCTCATGATAACCCCCAACAGCCTCTAGCCGAACATTGTTCAAGGTAGCCTCCAAGTAGCCTCAAGAAAGCCCCCGATCGTGTCTGTGGGGGCTGGTGGGGCATTTTTTCCCCATCGCGAGCGCTAGCGGAAGGGCCGCGCGCCGTCCAAAGCTACAGCTAACAGCTGGGGGGGGGCACTTTTTTGATCGCGATCGCGGAGAGGAAGTCGGGCGGCGTCGAGGATATTGCGCACAAGCAACGATCTAACTTCGCGCAGCACAAATCCTGGCGCTTGCACTCGCCTCGCACGGCCCTGGGGGGGGGGGAGGAGGAAGCCTCCCCCAGGAGCGGAGGGTGCGGACCCGACCCATCTGCCCCGCAGCGCGCGGCCTCTCCGAGGCCAAGCGGGCAGACGCCGGTCGGGCCCGTGGGGGAGCACCACCCCCCCCCCACACCCCCAGGGCGGGTAGGGCGGGCCAACGACAGCACGTGGTCACTATGGACCAGAAGAGAGGGCCCCATTGGGCACGTGAACGCAGCAGGCCGCTATGGGCCGCAACGAAGCCACTATGGGCCGCAAGGAAGCCACTATGGGCCGAGCGAAGCCCCCAGAGGGCGGAGGGCCGAAACCCGACACACGGCACGGTATTTATATCCCGCCCCAGTGCCAGGCGGAGGAAGCACGGCACGGCACTGCACCACACGACGCGAGCGGGAGGCGGAAGAGGGTCGACCAGCGCGCGGCCGACCAGCCGAGCGAGGGCGCCCCCGCGGCCAGCCGCGGGGTCGTTCACAGCGCGGGCGGATTTGTGCCAAGCAATAACTTCGTTATTCCGACCCCACAAATCCTGGCGCTTGCACTCGCCTCGCACGGCCCTGGGGGGGGGGGAGGAGGAAGCCTCCCCCAGGAGCGGAGGGTGCGGACCCGACCCATCTGCCCCGCAGCGCGCGGCCTCTCCGAGGCCAAGCGGGCAGACGCCGGTCGGGCCCGTGGGGGAGCACCACCCACTGCAACGGCGCTCCCGCGGGCCACGCCCGGCGCTGCCACCCACTGCCCCCGCGTGCCGGGGGTGCGCCCACGTGTGTGCCGTGCAGACACGACCACCAGACTGCGCGGGGTGCTCAGCCATCGCCATCGTCGCTGGACGACTCTGCCAAATGGGCTTCCGCGACCGACTGCCGCTCGAGCCGGGAAACGTTAAGGTATTTCATCCACGCGGGCTGATGCCAGCCGCCCGCGCGAAGAAGGTCGGTGACCGGTCCGCCCCTGGCAGCGATGTCCTGCGCGTGCCCGCGCCTGAACGCGTGAGTGCCGAATGATTCCGCGTCGTGGCGCCCCATTTCGCCCAGCGCGCGGCGCAGCCGAGCACGTGCCGCGCCTGGGGACCACGCAGCCCAGATGGGCTGATGAGCTGGCTCGCCAACTAGCCAGGCCCCAAGAACGTGTACGGGACAGGTGACCGCGCACTCGTCGCACCAGCACTGCCGTGCCATCACCGAGCGGCTCTCGCGGTTCTTTCTCCTGGAGAGGTGCAGCTCGATCTTCTGATCGCCGACGACGAACGCGGAGGCCACGCAAGCTGCGGCCGCGCCATCTTCAACCCGCACCGCGGGCAGGGCCT